CTTTACTTCTTTATTTACTGTTCTATATTTTAAGAAAAATAAGTTTAAGAACTTATTTCAAAAGAGTAATAATCCATATACATATATAATGTATAATAATTGAAATGTGACTCTATTTTACAAAATACTAGTTTACTAAAACACAACCAAGACAAGTTATTTTGCACAGACCAAAGGTCAGTTTATGTTATTTGATACAGCTACATGAGTGAACATGAGCCACATCATTGTAACTTCTGTATTAGCTGAAAGGTCAATATAATAAATATATATATATTATATATAATGTTATGAGATTTAAGCTATTTAGTCTAAACATTTATGTTTTTGTGTTATAATTTATGTTCATTCTAGAATGAAAGAGGCATAATTTATATTTATTTCCTAATTTTTTATGGTAGTTGCAAGATCGGTCAAATCTACCAAACCCGTACAGAGATTAATTACTGAAAATAACAGATAAAATATATAGTTTTTTCTAAAGAAACATTTGATAACTATCTGTACATTATAAAGATTTCGCAAGTGAAATTTAAAAATTTTCTGATGCATAAAAGTATTTTTAATCTTAAAATTAATATTACTTTGCATGATAGATAGGCAACACACAAAAATAAAAAAAGGCATGAGAAAATCATTGCTTTACAAACCTTAAGACTTAATAAAAATATATAATATTTTGTGTATGAAAGCACTGTAATGTTTACTGATAATGTGCCAAATTTCATTACCATTCGCTTACTGATTTAAAAGTTATAGCATGAAAACTATAACAAGCACAAAAGGGTTATGAGGTTGGTCCCAGGGACCAAGCCCATGTGGAAAAAAAAAAGAGAGTTAAAATGCTACACGTGTTGTAGTTATTACTTATTATTTTCATTAATAAAAATATATATACTAAAATGCTTAATTTTGCATTATTGCACTATTAACTCCACCCTAATCACTTGTGCCCTCACAATAGGTCATTTGCAACCCCCTGGGGAAGGGGGAGCTCATCCCATGCTTTGGGAAATGCTGTAATAAAGAATAAGGAGTTCATTCAAAACTGGGATCAATAAATTAATAGAGAAGAAGTTCACTAAAATTCACATCAATAAAACAATACAGACTAAGGAGTTCATCCAAAACTGGATCTATAAAGTAAGAATGAATAAAGAGTTTCTCCAAAACTGGCATCAATAAAGTGCTAGAAACCAAGGAGTTTACAAAACTTACATCAGTAAAGCATTAAACTCAAAACTGACATCAATAAAAACTAAGAAACTGACACAAAACTGGCATCAATCTTACATATATTGAGAACCGCGGTGTCTGTCCGAGCATTAAACTGTTTCTCGTTTCAAAAGCTGTGCATACAGGAAAAGCTCAACATTCACTTTTTAAATGACAAGAGAACAAGGCATGAATAATGTTGATGGCAAATTTCAAAATGTGACGTAACTTAATGAATAAAAATGTAGATCTAACGTATGTTATTGTTGAGCAGTTCTTAGCATGACTGAAATGCTCAACAATTACTTTTTGCAGTAGGTGGTATAAGTAACTTGGAGCTTTGTCTCTGAGTGAAACCAAGAGTGCAACACAATTAACCCTTTTAAAGTCCATGAAATAATTTAAATCGACAGATTAAGCTAAACTTTTCCTATCACTGGGGATGGGTACGTTTGCTTGTCAAGTAATAAAACTAAGAAATCCACAATGATTGTAATGATCCCTTCTGACTACAGTTTCTGTAATCAATGTTTGTGATGATCCCTTTTGACTACAGTTTCTGTTATCAGTGTTTGTGATGAAGTCTTCTGACTACAGTTTCTGTAATCAATGTTTGTGATGAAGTCTTTTGACTACAGTTTCTGTAATCAATGATTGTGATGAAGCCTTCTGACCACAGTTTTTGTTATCAATTTTTGTGATGATGCCTTCTGGTTACAGTTTTTGTAATCAATATTTGTGATTGAAAAAATACGAAGTACAGTTAAATAAAGGTGTTATAAACAATATCATTTTCACAAGTGCACCACATATTTAGATAGAACAAAAACCTGTAAAATAAATTTCTTAGATAGAAGTTTAAAAGAGATTTATTCTCCAGGGATTTTCTCAGCTATCACATACCTCACAATGGAATTTCTAGTAATACAGTTTTATTTATCCTCAGGCAGCAATTGTCCTTTGTGCATTTTTTAAGATGATATTAAGTACAGAAAATGAGCAACAATAGAAATTCAACTTACCTGTGACAGATATAACACGAACGATCTTTATGTACAGGACACCCTGTTCCTCCTCCAATGCCATAGACGTACTGGTTACTCTTAGAAGAATTTTCAGCAAAGTAAATACCTACACAGAAAAATCCATAAACAGAATGCTCAAATGAACTGCTTATATGTTCCTAAAAATAATTAAATCAATAAAAACTAATATAAAAACCAAATGATTGTACATAATGTAACTCAACTTAAGTTTCTTTTTAGAGCATGTTATAGTCTGCTACATGATACATTCACAACCTGCTGCATATTTCACCATTTACTGCTCCGACACAAAAAAGTACCCACATTAAATTACAGAAACCTTCTAGTCTGTGACAAACTACATAAATAATATTCCTATCAGTCATTTAGCAATGTATTGGAATTTACTTACATTCAGAATATCTTTACAATAATTTACACTAAAATATACTAACTTTTAACTATTCTGATACTTTTTTCTTACCTGCTCCAAACATCCCACCAATGTATGCATGTCTCTCATCAAAACCTTTCTGAACAATGGCATTAATGAATGGAGAGCCATGAAACAACATCCTCTCATTAGGTTGATTGTGATTTTCCTCAGTGACTTCTTGTCTTCTGTGACAGTAACGTTCCCACAACTTCCTATTTCGTATTTTCTCAATCTACAAGAATTAGAAATAAGTATAGTTTATGTGGTAAAACTACCACTAATTGTTTGAATATGGATAAATTATTATACATAATAACATAAAAACTGATGTCAGAAATCAGTAAATTATTTTATTTCGTTTGTTAAAGGATTAACGGGGTATCAACAATAATTCATATAATGGTTGGTTTTCTTCACTTTCATGGTACTATAAAAGTGGAATATTCCTCATCCAGGAATAACAGTTGTCTAACATTACTTTGCAAGTATCACATCAAATAAATATTCTTTCAGCATGAATGATACTTGTAACTTACATTGTAGTTCTTATATCAACTAAATGCATTATGGGCTTGACCACTCACTAACAATGACTTAATCTGTGATTCTTATACCAACTGACTGCCCCTTCTGGCATGTCCACTGTCTGCCACTTACTTGGATGATGACGACATATGACTCTTTAAGTCTGTCCATATCAATTGATGGAAATCCTTCCAAATGTCCGTCACTTACCTTGAAGACATTACAGTACTTCCACTGATGAATCCTCCCAAAATGACTGCTGTCTATTACTTACCTTGATGCTATTATATCAACTGAAGATCCCCTCCAGTGTGGTTACTATCTATAATTACCTCCACCACCAAAGATGGACGGAGGTTATGTTTTCACCCCTGTGTGTGTGTGTTTGTCAGCAATCTTTATCGAAAACAGCTGAATAGATTTAGATGAAAGTTGGTATACATTTGGACTATGACCCAACTTAGAAGTGATTAGTTTTTGGAGGATCAGGGTCATAGTAAGATCATGAAAAAAAAATCACTATCTGTAAACATAGGGACTGATTTTTCACACTATCTTTGCTCTATAACTCAGTCAAAAATGATTGGATTTTAATGAAACTTGGTGGACATATGTAGAATATTATTCCTCATTATCCTGCTAAAAATGGTCTATGTCCATTCATAAGGACGAACATACAGACACATTTTCATATTTTTTTTAAAGCCTAATATGATCAATGCTGTGTGGTGGAGGTATGCACTCTATTATGTGCTCCTCTAGTTTACAATGCCATTATCTTATTAACTGAAGGCCCTTACTGCATGAGTAATGTCTTGTAACTTACCTTGATGATATTATATTGATTAAATATCCCTCTTGCATGGGTACTGTCTCATAACTTACCTCAATAATATTGTATTGACTGAGTATCCCTCCCACAAGAATGATGTCTTGTAACTTACCCTTGATGATATTGTATAAAATAAATATCCCTCCTACATGACCGATGTTTTGTAACTTACCTTAATGATATTATATCGACTAAATATCCCTCCTACATGACTGATGTTTTGTAACTTACCTTCGATGATATTGTATAAAATAAATATCCCTCCTACATGACCGATGTTTTGTAACTTACCTTAATGATATTATATCGAATAAATATCCCTCCTACATGACCGATGTTTTGTAACTTACCTTAATGATATTATATCGACTAAATATCCCTCCTGCATGACTGTTGTCTCTGTGTTCACACACAGTTCTTTGCATCTGGAAAAATCCCATTCAAATTTCTATTACATTATGCTATTTGATAATAATGGAATTTAAATAGTAATAATAAAAGGAAAGCAACATAGAACTATATAATCATAAAATATTAGTTAATTCTAATGGAAAAGTTTGAAACACTTGAACTAAGATGCGCTGGTTCCTAATATTTTTGTTATTGTGTAACAGATTCTTTAGTTTCCTTTTCTAACAATGGTACTCATTACGAATAATATTTAAAATAAATAAAAATGTATTACACTATACATTAGATAATCTTCAAAACACAATGCAACATAATGCAAGTTTGTACCCACAACTTAGTAGAATTGCACTTAAACATTTGCAATTTCAGCAACCAGCACCCCTTCAAAAAGGTGTTTAGCAGTGCAGATTATATTTGGAATTCCAGGTGAGCATCATTCTATCTATACAATATTGACACGTTAACCTTTGTTAGCTGCAATATCAACCCTCTCTATAAGAGGTCGGTCCCACAGGATCATTTTTACTGTAACTTTTAACTCTCTCAAAACGGGCTCAGTCAATTTGACTGATGTGACCTTTTTGTACGTGTATAAAGTCTTTATAGATTTGATATTACTAACTTTTAATATAGTGTGTATATCTTCCCAAAATTTGGCAATGTTTCAGTAAACAGATACTAAAACAGATTTTAGAAACTGTGATATAGTTGGCAAATTGAATTTAGGTACTAAGCACAAAGTACTATCAGTTATGGCATACAATAGATAAAATCTAGTTGAAACATTTTTAATATACTTATCTTGTAGAAATTTTGATTGATCCAGTTCAAGACCGAAATACTACATTCACAGAGTTAATCTTATTAATCTAGTGCTACATTTTATACAATAGATAAGTGCTTCATTTTCCTTACCTCTTCCTCAACAGCCATGTACTCTCGATCATGAGTAGTTAAGTCCACCAAGATTGTTCCTGATGTGGAGGGTATAGGTACTGAACCTGAAATCAGAACAATGGTGGAGATTCTATTGGTTTTATACATATTTAGTAGATTTATGTAATAACTATTGCAAACATTTTACTTTTTAACTGTTAAATTGACACACATTTTAAAAATGCAATTTGTACATATGTTTAAAATGTACCTCTTTTAGTACACACAATTAAAGTGCAGCATAAACATACCATTTTTTAAAATATAAAATGGTACTAAATGACTTTTTAAACTTCTAGTATGTATGAAACTAACCATATTCTGCATGGTTTTTCTATTCCCTTGATAAATTAGTTATACTTCTTTCAATATAAAAAAATGGTAATACATGACCTCTTTTAAACTGTTAGTATATGTGAAACATACTATGTATTGCATGTTGTTTTTCTATACCCTTGATAAGTTATACTTCTTTCAATATATAAGATAGTACTAAATGACCTTTTAAATTGTTAGTATATGTGAAACATACTATGTATTGCATGTTGTTTTTCTATACCCTTGATAAGTTATACTTCTTTCAATATATATGACAGTACTAAATGGCTTCTTTTAAACTGTTAGTATATGTGAAACATACTATGTATTGCATGTTGTTTTTCTATACCCTTGATAAGTTATACTTCTTTCAATATATAAGATAGTACTAAATGACCTTTTAAATTGTTAGTATATATATATATATATATATAAAAATCCCAATGTCCTACATATAGTTTTTCTATTCCCTTGATAAGTTAGTTATACTTCATTTAATATACAACTTGTGCTAAATAACCTCTTTTAACACTCATTACAGGCTCGGTTAAATCAGCCGAGTTTGCAACCACAAATTGATCCTTAGAGTTTCCATATTATAATTTGTATGTTTTGTGTATTTTCAAGAAGTTTTGCAAGCTTTCAGTAACCATTAAGTCTTTTGTAGAAAATTCTTTATTTTTAACGAAGCATTTTCATTAAAAAATTTCTCCATGAATATACGAAGTACAGGGTTCTCACTAGGGTCTCACAGTGAAGGGTCCTGGATTCTCAACTGTCTTTTTCAAGAGTCTCAGTGAGATTTTCAAGGGTTCCATAGGTAGAATTTAATAAATTCAAAGCACTTCAGTGTCAATGAGAAACATTATTTACAATTTGCACCGCATGTTGTTTCTCTTTGAGTGCAAAGTAATTTTCATGATAAGATTAAAAAATACTTTTCTTCATCTGAGAATTTTCAAATATCATTTGTGTAGCCCCTAATAACATGTAAAAAGCAGATAATGCCCCATAACTATCACAATTTTTCTGGATTTCTAACTATACGACTAGAGCCATTACATATTCATCCAATCTAGTCAATGTATTACTCGTGGGAACAAATCTTGTACTGAAACAGAAATTGACAATTCTCTATACAGAAAACAACATAATATGATACGTCATTTGATAGATGAAAACCTTGGCTTTCTAGTGGTTATAAATAATATAGTATTAAACGTAAGAAAGAACTATTGACAAATTCTGAATGAGTTGATGTGACAGGTGGGTGGGGCAAGAGTGGTCTGATTTTCTATTTGATGGCTTTGTAACCAAACAAGATTGAAGATTATGAAAATTATGCTTTACCTAGGTAATAACAATATTATAATGAGTAATTTATGTTAAATTTCATATTTCTCAGAGGGATAGTAAATAAATTAGAGAAGAGGGGACACCTAGAGAGCAAAAGTCACAATTCTCATACTAGGGGGAAATTGAGGATTTTTTTTTAATATTGCCTTATAAGAGTAAAAACTTAAAATTCATATAATATTAAAATTTGGATTACTAATACATTGTGATGCTAAGTTTAATCATATACCATGAAAATAAAGTACTTTAATTACATTTTGAATGCAACTCTGTAAAACATCATGATATTCGCAGAAGGGGATGCCCATATGGAAAGAGTTAACTTATAGTACACATAAAACTATCCATGTCCTGTCTATAGTTTTCTATTCTCTTGATAAGTTAATTATACTTCTTTCAATATAAAAAAATGGTATTAAATGGACTCTTTTAAACTGTTACTACACATGAAACTTACTATGTCCTGCATATAGTTTTTCTATTCCTTTGATAAGTTTGTGCCTGTGGCCATAGGCATTTACTCCAATCTGCTTCAGTTCCTCATGCCCCATTTCTGCTAAAATGTCTAGTGTTATCTGTTTCAGTAGAATACAAACAAGTCTTATGTCAATATATCTTATTCAACTAATCTAAATTTCCTCAAAAAGACAAACATAACAAACTGAATGATTTTAATATAAACAAACCAAATCATGGTCCATCATGATTTTGTGTTGATGTTGATATGAATTGATTTGAGTTGATATAATTTAGTTAGGTCACAGTTCAATGTACTGTCAACTAACTAGATTTTGATGAATATTTCATTTATTTAAACATAATACCATCTGGATAAATTACATCCACCACATTATCATACCACATCTCAATAAATTACATTCATCACATTATTACACCATTTGGATAAATTAAGTCTGCCATATCATTATGTCTATGAAAATATAATCTAGCTTAATTATGTCCATCATAATACTATCTGAGTAATTTACACCAATTACATCATTTAAATAAATTATGTTTATCTGAATAGCATTATACAGAACTCAATATCATATACGTCAATTACACACATTTTTGCAAGAGTGCATTAAAATATCTTGCCAGAAATATATTTGAAGAAACATAATTGTTATATGCATATCAACTAAGAACATGTCCTTCTTACTGTAATATATGAATTATCATATTAAATGTTTCTTTTTCATTTCCTTATCTACAGATATAGTTATAACATACACACCTGCTCCTTCTCAAACACATCCCTGAGCATTTCTAAACCAAGACTACTGAGCAGTGCAATAAGAGTCATACTCTGCTGACTTGTGTCACTGGTTTCTAGTCTGTCAATGTCAAGACAACCATCACCATGCTGTGTTGGAGATGGCTTATGGGTCTTTAGTAGGTTGATGGCAGGAGGGATATCTTCATCGAGTTGGAGAGGTGGAAGAGATGGGAATGGCAATGAGAGAGATGGAAGCCTATAAAAAAGAAAGAAATAGTAAATCTTTTTATTCTTAACTCATATTTTTGTAATGTACTTCTGCCTCCCCTTAATATTCATTTCTTTACGATTATCAAGATGTGAAACTTCTGTTTTTGTACTGAACTCAAAAGAAAAGGGTTCTATTATTTATTTGAAACAAACCTGAAAACCTTATTTTTCTGACTGTTCTTGTTCATTAATATTTTAAGTCTAGTAGAATGTTAAAAAAATTATAATAAGCCATCTTCATACCATACAAAAGCAATTTTTAAATAAAAATATTCTCCAATATATAAATTAATTTATTCAGTGGAAGCATCTTAGCTATTTAACTGTGCTGAAGATGAACAGGAAACTGTTGATTTCTCTCCAAAAGTTGACATTAAAGCTTAATCTTGGAATATACTTGAAGGCTAAAGCAGAAATTAGAGAAACTGAAAGTTATCAAAGTTAGATAACAAAATAAGAAACTTTTGTTTTACATGAAAACAGGTTTATTTACCTCCCAGCATCTTATTTATACACCAACATCAAGAGTTACAAATGCTTGCTAAGACAACTATAACTTTTACAAGGAGTATTTTTTGGTGAAATTGTACAGAGGTAACACTTACAATCTTGAAAACTGTGTACTGCAAATGATTAATGTTCTGAAAAATGCATATGACAGTGTATGATGTTATACATAACTTTTAACTAAAAAATATTTCAGAATTGATATTCAGCAACACTTATTTAGTGTAATTTGCAAAGACCAAATTTTCTCTTCTGGGCAGCGCTGAGGAGTCTTGCCTTAAACAATAAATTTATCTATTTTGTTTAGAATTTTTTCTGCCCATCTGAAATTAAAAGTTTATATTTGCTAATAATTAATAATAATTAGCAACGTCTTATTTCTCACATGATTTTAATTATCTGTTAGTGATTTTATTACTATGGGCTTCATTCTTACTCTTTTATGATGTTATATGGTTTGAACAATTGCTAAAGGAGCACAGGTTTGAAAATAGCTACAGGTAACATTTAACTACAATTCAGTAGAGCTGATTATGAGCTATTTTCATCAATGTAGAGCAAGTAAAGTGGTTTGAGTAAATTAAAGTAAATTATGGTTTAGTAAGAAGTGACTACCCAGAGGTCCTGTAAAGATGAACAAAAGAATGAAACAGGAAGTTTAGTAAACTTAGATACAAGACACAGATCTGCATTTTTTAGTCTCTTCAGATGTTCTTTACAATCCTGAAAATGTTTTTGTGGTAATCTATATCTGTTTGAAAGCATTTTTGAATGCATACATTTTTATTTTCTTGAAATAAGCAAGATTTTGCATGAGTGTAATATTTGAATATAAAGCTGAAACAATTGGAGATAACTTTTTCTGCAGAGCTAAAGTTCTCTTTGGTTCCTATAAAATATGAAAAATATCACATTTCCTGCTAATCCCTCTAGAGAGAGATAATAATAAAACAAGGATCTGGTGTCTTTACAAAACTTTTAGTGATTCTAAATATGTACACAATCAATAAACATCTCAAAATAAACTAATCAAATCAATTTGTAGCTTTCAAACTAAAAAATAAATACATTTTATAATTTGCCAGTAATGTCAACCTGACATGGCCTGTTTGAAACCTGAGCACTAAATACAAACTTTTCCAATTATACAACAATAAAAAGAAAACAAGTAGTAGAAGAAAGTACTGTGAATATAATATTCACTCGCTAAAAACAACCAACTCTCTGACTGCCAGAGGATCAAAGCTTTGTAATTAACTTAAAGTGTTGAAAAATACAAAACAGGATGTAAGACTAACCCATTAGCAGGAACTGGAGAAATATTTCCTGTTGAGGGAAGTGTTTTACTAGTAGGAGCAAGGGTTACCGCATGAGCTGGCATAGAATCCATAAGCAGACAGCGTACGTCTTCAGCCTGAAATAGAAACGCTAGAAGTTTTAAAGTGCCAAGAAACTGAACAGATACATATACAATAAATTAAAAAAGAAAACAGCCGGAATGAAGGTGATGTGGTGAAGCATGAAGTTGATGCGAGACTGTAGATCAGTCTCAAATAAAAATATTATTATTTTGTAAAACAAAAAGGTTTGTTATGTTATTCATGATGTAACAGAAGTGCCCACAGAAGAATTATCCAAAAAATGCACAGACTGGTCAATATAATTACAAAAATCACAATAACAGTGCTCATCATCAAAAGTAAATTTTTCATATGACATTAAAGTAATTCAAATCTCACAGAGAATTTTTCAAAATGCTTTGTGTAAAAACCAGAATAAGAAACACCATTTTCAATGAAGAAAGATACATTACATACAAATTTACAACAGAATAGGTGATACAGCACAGAGTTCCCAACCATCAGACAAAACAAAATTCTTTGACGAAAAGTAACAAAAAAAAAAGATTTTTAATGACATCACACCACCCTTCACAGTCATTCTTTCTTCCCATTTATTCAGTGATATATCTTACTGTCTTCCAATGTGCCACTGTGATAAAAATGGGTATCTTTGTATAAATGTAATAGTCACATGTACCACAAATATTATATATTTTTGATATCAGAACACTGATACAACCAGAACAAAAACTAGCCATTATGTACAATTTCATGCCTTTTTACTGGGTAAAATATCAAATTTGTCTGAACTTATCTAAAACTTTTTGATTTGGAATGTTTTTTCTTCCTTTGAGCTGGAAACCATCACAGACCTCTTTTATCTTAATGATACCACAGTGTTTAACAATAATGAATGCTAACAATAAACTTCCAACAATAATTTGAGTCATCTCAACCTAGTGATGGTCTAACTTCAGGCCTTGTAGTAGAGGCTTTTCTTGGCATCAGAACTTCTCAAACAACACTGTTGATGAATCACTGCGGCATGTCAGCTAAGTAGCTAAGAGCAGTCTTTTCATGCATGGATGCAATGTTTGCAGTTCACACAGACAGCCAATAAGAGGGGCAGCCAAAAGCTACCATGACAAGACTTTCATATCAATACAACGAAATACAGAACAATACACCATTGGTTGCCAGACTGTTAATTCAGAGCATCTCATAGTGGACATGATTATGCAGAATTAGGTGATTAGAAAGTGGACATAAACCACAAATCACCAGATGTGACATTATCCACAAAACATACTGCTTGCATTAATGATGAGAAGGATACTCCCAATTTTGATGAGATTAACTAGAATGAATCATCAGTCATCAAGAATGATGCATCTGATGTTAGTGATGCCAAATTCAAAACTTTACTGGAGTGTGATGATGCTAACAATGAGGACGTAGTAGAAAGTGCTGAAACGATAACTGGCAACTTAACCTTATGGTTATGGGGTTGAACCAGGGTGGCTACTTCTTGTATGGAGAATGATACACAGCTCACCAATACTTACAATAACTCTGGGCTTTCTTAACATATCTTCACAACAATTGGTAAGATTTTGTACTTTGTACAAAAAAAGAATGAGATTATTTTATTTAAGTATCTTAACTAAAGATTTGTTTTGTATTGTAGTTATTTACAATCAGACACTGAATATTTCGAGTACTATTATCAATGTACATTTAATTTTTCATCCAATAATTTTAAAAATCTTTTTTTGGTTGTATTCTTAATTGCAAGTTTTTACTTTTTCACATATAGTTCATTTTTGATGTTTTATTTTCCTTTCCTGTCCTTTAGCACTATTACTTATCGGACACACATCAATGGGCATTCTTGGGCAATATTAAGGTATCATAGGCAGACACACTTTAGCCTTTGTCAGAATGTTGGGACATTCGCCTACTACACTAAGCATGATGAACAGAGGCAGTTTGGCATATATTTTAAAAAATTATTAAACCTTTCTAATATGCATTTTTAAAATATAAATAACATATAATTAACTAAAATATAAAACTAAAACCTAAATACAATTTAATTGTCTATCTAACCAACATATTTATACGTGAGAAACTGCTAGCAAGGACAAACACAGCAACAATGCTAATAGCAGTTTGACAAGTTGGGTAATTGCATTTTAAATGTAACAAAGTAAAATCTCGGGGCATGTAGAATAAGGGTACCCATAACAATAAAGTTAACTAGAATTGTAACTTTTGTTGGTCAAATGAAATACAAGAAATCACAATCATCACACTTATCGATAGATACATTCAATGTACCCGAAGAATCCGAGGAAGACAATTCCAAATATTTCACATGTGACCATGTCTTCTTGAGTTCAAATATGTTGAAACAACATACTTGCAAAGGTGTTGTTGGCCAAAGCTATATCTCACATTTTGTGTTGTTCATTGCAATGAATCTTATCGGTAAGGGAAAGATTAATTTTATTCAAGGAAGTAATCCATCATCTGACACCATTTTAACAGAAGAAATTAATTCAATTAGTAGCAAACAAACATTTCCCCATGATTGGGCCTCACAAGCAGCACGTGAATGCCGTTATGATTCAAAGTATATTATTCCTTTCAAAGAAGATATTACCCAAATGTTTCAAGAAGGAGCTAACAATGACACCAAAAAGATGAGACCCAGAAGAATGGGTGACTACTTGGTCAATAAATATTCTCAGCGTAATGACATTTCAGCCCATAATGAGATATGGCAGGTTATATCTAATTTGTTCAAGAAATAACAAATTGATGGATCTATCAGGACACATTCCAGGGGCATTCAACAATCACATCTTCAACATATTGTTGGCATTTTTGATGAGCACAATGGCAATATTACACCTGCAAATGCACTACGAATCTTCAAGGAGTGATATCCTTGGCACGATAACGTATCCCATGCTCCATATCCTACCGACAGCCAGATCAAATTCATGATATCCTCCATGATGGTTAATATGAAAAGAGTATGTAACAACAACAGAATTCATTACCATAACTATGCAGGTGGTTCTATCCATTTAACATACAATTTCTATGTGTAAGATTCATGAATTCCAAAATCTCGTAACTTTCTTGAAAAACAAATATTTTGTGAAAGTATCCTTGAACTATTGTTTCATAAAGGCATCAATTTATGCTATTTTTAGTATGTAGTACATAGTTCCACATTCACACTAAAAAAAATCCTAACAAGGTGGTACTATATTTTTGGGCCTATCTTGTGAACTCTGTGTTAAAGTCTGAAGATTCTATACCATCTTGCAGTTATCTAAGATATACTTCAAATGCAAAGGAAACAAAGCCAATTAATGAAACTGAAAAAAAATGGATTTCATTAGTGAAATTGATACTGATGAAAAAAATGACAGCAGCAAAATGAAGAAATGCTGAAGGTTTAAGACACACACATTTGAATGCAAGGAAGACAAAAAAATGAAATTTTGCCAAAAATATAAAATATTTTAAGTGATAACCCTAGTAGGTGGCCAGTTAATTTATCAAATAGTCAGGTACAGTTACTGGTACAAAGTGGACCTGTACACAAAACAAATGAAGCAACTATAGATAAACAAAAACTCTCTTTACACAGAAAAAAAAGACTGGTAAACTAAAAGAGAACATATATTGCACATTATAATATTTCTTTTGAGGCAAAATCTAGCTTTCAGTGGATCATCTGATATGTTGTTTGAACCTGATAATGGAAATTTCTCAAGACAGATAAATGATAACTAAACTTGATTGAGTAATGTCTAAGCATATCAGGCACATACAGAATAAAAAGGATAAGCAATTTATGCCTTCATATTTAGGACATCTCATTCAAAATGAGATAATAACATTAATTTCACAGAAAATTTATGAATTCATTTTTTGATATAGCTAGAAAAGCAAGTTATTTTTCTATAATCCTTGATTGTACACTGGATGTCAACCATATAGAGCAAATCATGATAATTATCCATTTTGTGGAAGTAAGTACCAAAAACAAAATAGTTGAAATTCATGAACATTTCTTTGGGATTTCCACAATTAAACATTCCACTGGGGAAGGTTCAACATCATTTGTTTGGTTTAAGTTGGAAGAATTAAACTTGAACGTCTACAATATCCAGGGTCAGGGTTATGACAATGGTGTCAATATATATGTGGTAAGCATTATGGCTCAGAAAAAAAAGAAAGAATTTTAGATATCAGCCCTCAAGCTATTTTTTTTATACCATGCTCTTTCACCAGCCTAAACTCATAATAATGATGGGCAAAAGTCACAATGAAAGTGTAGAATAATTTTTATATTGTACGAGAATTAGATGTATTTTTTCATCCTCAACTTGAAGATGGAACAAAAACAACTTACCAAATTAACATTAAAACCAGTTTTAGAAAACAGATAGGAGAGTAAGATTTATGCCCTAAAGCTGTTAAGGTTTGAAATAAGGCCACTCGCTATCAGGTACAATTGTACAGCCACAAGAATTAAAAATTGAAGTTTTTGTAATAATATGGCAAGCAATTCTGTATAAAGCCAATATAGTTAGCAAAATGTTACATGAGCCACAACTAAATATCAAATAATGTATTGAGCTTTTAAACAATTTGAGTGATGTTTTAACTAAAAAATGCTCAGATGCAGAATATCAAAAGTTTTTAACTGTAGTAAAGATTTGACTGAAGTGTTACAACACTTTTCAAACATAAATGTTGTTTGCTGCAGAAAGAAGGTTAACTCTTTCCATACAGGCATCCTTTTCTGCACATGTTACATTCAAAATTTAATTAAAATACTACATTATCATTATTATGGTATACAAATAAACTTAGCATCAACACGTAGCTAATAATGAGTTCATAATTTTATAAGACTATATAAAAAAAAAATTCTCAATTTCCCCTATTATGAGAATTGTGACATTTGCTTTCTAGGTCTTCCCTCTTCTCTAAGTTATTTACTACATTCCAACAAGTATTAAATTTAATGTATATTACTCACTGTGATATTGTTGTTACTCATGTAAAGCATAATGCTTTATAGCCTTCACTCTTATTTGGTTACAGAGCCATAAACTAGAAAATCATACCACTCTTGCCAAGCCCACTGTGTGTTTGTGTGTGTATGTGGAACATGAACACCCACTTCTTTGTATTTTTTCTTCTTTTTCTTGTATTGTATACACTAGGGAATTCTACATTGACCTTATGCTACTATAAAAGTTGTCAAGAAAGAATCATATGAACTTACAGTGGCCAGGTCTAGTGGAGCCTGTCCCTCATGGTTCTGTACTGATGGATCAGCTCCATGTGCTAACTAAACATGTAGAAAAACAACAAAAATCCTTAAAAAAAGTTCTTATCACATAAAAAGCATTATAATCACTTCAATATTGAAACTCTTGAGCAGTAAAACAAATTTCCACTTACCAACAGTGCACACAGAGGAGTTCGACCTTTCTGGGCAGCTTCGTGAAGTGGGGTAAAACCCCAACGGTCGGTGGCATTTACTACAGTGCTGTACTTTATCAGAAGAGCTGCTATGTCCGAATGCTGGAAAACAAAACAGTATATTATGAACAGAACAAAAGTAGATGTCTGACTGTTGGAAAATAAAACAGAACATTATGAACAGAACTACTGTAGATGAATGACCGATGGAAAACAAAACAGAACATTATGAACAGAGCAAATCCAGATGTTTGACTGATAAAAAATATAACAGAACATTATGAACAGAACTAATATAGATATCTGAATGCTGGGAAACAAAACAGAATATCATGAAGAGAATTAATGTAGGATAAAAAGTTCATAAAATTTGCTAACCTCAAACACGAAATAATGTGATTCATTGTCTACAGACCTTGACTTTAGGACCCGAGAAGTTGGTCTTGAGAGTAATGTACACCAATGAATAGTACTAAGGATAAACCATTAGTATGAAATAACATGCTTTTTTAGTGCTGTTTCTTAAGCTCTAATTTTAAAGACAGATTTGAATTTTATTTCAAAAGCACTTGATACTATCTTTTACCTTACTTACTTTCCATTTTAAAATTTGTAAATTTCTATTACAACAGTTGGTTGGAGTTTATTGGTGCACAGCAATGCTGCTATCTCCACCAGACAATCAGTAGAAAACATGACAATAACACTACATAAGTAAAAGCAAAAAATGGTAAAATGTAAATGGACAAAACAACCTAAAGCCAAATAATGACCGTAAAAGAGGTTGAAAATAAATATAATGAGAAAAGCCAACGACCCACAAAATACTCATACCAGTTGGAGTACATGTAACCATTTCATATCTCATTTTCCCAAACTGAATATACAAATAACAACTGAATGGTGCTTTAGTTAACATGTCACATTTAGTTAATAATGTCACATATGAAAAATGCATAACTCAATATGTTTTATAATTCAACAGCTTGCACTCACTTTCAAAAATGATAATATATATTATAATATAATATATAACACCAATTCAAGGTTTCACTTCAAGGTGGACATGTATAATAAAACCAAACTTGTATCCTTTCTTTTTCAAACTGTTCTATATTTTATCAGTTTTGTAGCAACACAGAATAAATATAATGTTTCTTCAGAGTTATCCACAGCATACTTAAGGTTATACTTCAGACATACCTTAAGCTTGCTCTGGGCAGGGCTTGATTTAGATTGGAAAAGGTGCAGAGCAGTTTTATGTCGTATGTTGCTAACCAAGAGCTAAAATGACTAGCAGTTTGTTGCAACTGCATAGAAATGCTTCACAACCAAGTCTTTGTGAAAACAAAAAACAGTAAATAAAATAAAATTTAGAAGAATATATACATTATACATGTATTTTCGTTTAATGTTAACTCTATTGAACATCAGTGATTAATGTAAAAAAGGTTTATTAAGTTAGTGTACAGTACAGTACTGTCTTTCATACTTTCAGTTAATTTTAACAATATCAGAAGATTCTAAATGATCTTCAACAACAAACATTGTTGGAGTCATGTTATTTTCTTGTAACTTTTGTTTTTTACATAGCTGTGTGTTAGGCCACCTTTCAGATTGAAACCATATATCAACCAGCTTAGACAGAGGCAAATTTTCCATTGGAGGACCAGTTTACAAAATTCAAACACAGTGTTCACAAAAAGCCTCACTCAAACATGACCTGTAGGCAGTTTTGACTCTGACCATGCACAAAATGCTCTTTCTAATGTGGCATTAGACACAGGGAAGACAAGTAGTATAGTCATGACATGACACCAGTTTGGAAAACTCTCATGCTGACTTGTGAGAATAACAGAGCAAATTTCATGCCTATTCAGATGTTTTAAAGTATTAAACCAGTATACTTTAAATTCTACAAACTCCACTTTTAATGCATTTATATCTAGATTCTTATTGTCCAGTAAGCCAGAAAAATGCTGCATAAAGTTGTCAAGCTCCTCATTACCAAAATGCTCAAGTTCATCCTGTGCTATAGGCCATACTTCACAGTTTAATAATTTCAATGTTAGAAGAAATGGGTCAAATGGTTTTTGTGCATTCAAGTCACCAAATCTTTGGCTAATCAAGTATTTGACTCTTGTGCTCTGAAACTACATTCATAAAATCTGTAATTTCTGACTCGGATATTGATAAATCTACACCTTTGTACCTAACCTTGCCACTCTTTTTGGCCTGTGTAAATAATTCATTAATATCTGGCCACAAGGCCAAATGACCCGTGGAGGGTATTGTACAACACATCTAGTTGTGCCATAGCATGTAGGAGGTGAATGCTATCTTGTTGCAAGTTCAAGGAGAGCTTTGCTTGAGATATTATGATTTATTAAAAAAAACAAGAGATTTAGCACAAACTTCCTTAACTTGAGTTTTTGAAAGTTTTCTGTATCTTACCCTCTAATCAGACTCTCCTAACATATTTTCTAAATGCACAACAAATACTTTGTACCATTTTATCAACACATTATATGCTTTTTCTTTATATTAAATCCAATGTGTGCCATTACTTTTTTTGAGAGGTTTAGCACACCCTCCTCCATGATGTCGGGCAATTCCTTTAGGTCTTGCAAACATTTGGGACTCCTATGATAAAGTGCATAAAGATATAACAGTGTATCAATAACAAATTTCTCAATATATGTTCCTTTAAAACTTTCTTTTATTGCTAATTCCAGTCTGTGATGTATATTTATTAACCATGGGTAGTCATTTTTCAAGAGAGCTGATAAACCCTTTTGTGACCTAGGTTAACATTTGCACCATTAGCCATCATACCCAATATTTTCTTATGCAAATTAGTAATATCAAGTTCAATAAAAGCTGTCACTGAAATGTTTTTCAACATCATCGTGTTTCACTGTCTTAAGCCAATCAAAAGCATTCTTTGCATATCCATCCTTTGTCATGTACAACACAAAGAGGACTTCCTTCGGTGTCACACTGGTATCAGTAGCTCCATCAAGAAGAATGGAAATGTATTCTGCATTAGCAAGGTTCTGCAATGAGAAAATTAATACTGCTCTATAATTTTAAACATACAATAATTTAGTTTAATGCTCAGAGCTATGTATGAAGTATAACGTGACCTGCAATATTTTACTGTGATAATTTTCAGACTGTGATAAATTATAATGTACTCAAAATGTTCAATATATGTTTTGAAAATCTAAGTTATTGTTATTAAATATTAATAATCTAAATCACCTGTGATATACATGTATACTATATATATATATCTACCAGATGGTCAGACTATATTTATATAGATTTATATTATAGATGTAAATATTTTACTTAACATACTGACAGTAATGTGTACAGTGTTCATATAATGTATATATAGTAAACCTTTATTTCTCTTACACTAAGAATTTAGTCATAGTCTAGTTCATTAACTCAGTTTTGTGCATGAAACTAATTTGAAACTTTCTAGTGTGTACGGCTGAATGACAAGACTATTACCACAAAGAAAAATACAGTATTAAGTCCTACATAAAATAAATGGTGACATTCACAACCACTGCTAGCATGATTATTATATGTATAAAAACATGCCAGCTTTTCATCGCAAATTGCGATGCGAACATGGTTAAATCAAGCCTTGTTACTGCCCCACCCTATTTAAAGATATAAGTGTCCAAGACAAGAAGAAGGGGCTGTAATCTCAAATATTTTTGCAGATAAAACAGTTTTTCTGAAAAAAACATATATTTATTCAGGAGGTTTTAGGGATTATGCAAATAAAATTGGAAAATTTTCAGGTGAAGAAAAGTATTTTTTATCTTAACATGAAAATCACTTTGCATTTGGAGCAGTTCACACTATTTTCTTATTTTCTTAGTAGAAATACTTGATTAAAAATTCTGAATTTTTGTCTACAGAAGACTTAATGTTCAATGAAAGATTGTCAAATTTCGTGAAGATATATTAAGTACTTTCAGTGTTATGGTATTTATAACTATGGTTACAGGTTTGTGTAAAATGCATGAGTTTGTTGCAATAGGGTTAATTATCTAAGTTAAGTGACTAAAACTAATCCAAACACAGCAGATTGGAAAAACTTTAAATATTTCCTCAAATATATTTGTTATTAAAACTGTTACCTTATGAACTCTTGAATCAAATTCCTTTTATAGGCATGTCATTATCAACCACCAAGAAGGGTCATTTAGCATCCAGAAAATAAGCAATTACACTTAAGTATAGACAGCTTACTATTAGCTTTTAATGAAGTTTCTAAGAAAATTTCTGTATTTAAGTAAAGACCATAGTGATTTTGTTGGTAATAAAATGTTTACATGTTAGAGTAATGTTCTTTCACCAAATGAATAATAACTGTTACCAACATGAATCAAAAATACATAAGAAATGTATTCTTCCTCCTCAAAAGTCTGGGTAATTCTTTCATTTGAGCCTCGGGCTCAATTATGACATCCATAATGGTAGTGCTTTGAAACAAGTTTTCTGAGCATAAAATAAAATATACATCTTTTTGTTTTTTAATGTTTTTTCCTTTTAACTTAGTTGTGTGTCTTTTAAGGAACTTTAGTACATACACTGTAAGTAATATTAATTTTAGTCCTCATACTTACATACATGTAAGAAACTATTAAGTCATCTCTGCACTTGTAGAGTTCATTTGCAGACCTCAGTAATATTATAGCATTATTTCAAATTTTATTTTTACTTTTTTTTTACTTATTTCACAATTAAGAGAAATTTTGAGTTCAAGTACAGAGCGTAAACATTTTGTTATTATTGAAAGGCAATAGTTTTTAAATTCTAATGGCAACAAACAAGAGTTCACCAACATTAAAAATCTTTCTATAAGATGAAGCAAGGTAAAAGAAGAGAAACCTAACTATTGTAAACTAGCATGGCTCTTATATTGATGCTAATTATTTTGAAATTAATGGATCTTCATTGCACTTGTTTAAACAATAACTGGAAATATATTCACAGTTGAGGAAAATACTCTACAATATTATTGAAATGTTTTCACAAGTTTTTTTTTAGTAATGTAGCTTTTTACAGTTTCAATAGAACAAACCTGTAATAAGTGTTTAACTTTAAGCTTAATTGTTAAAAACAATCGTTTTCATTGTGTGATCTTTTAAACAAAAATTCTAAAGTAGTTGCTCCAAGAAAACATTTTTATAGTTTAATGTTTTAATCGTTTTGTATATGTGATGCTGAAGATCTTAATGTTAAATGTAAATTTCAGCCTCCAATGTCTCAGGCACGGATAAAGCTCATTGAACAAGCCTTCAAAAAGCTTGACCGTACAGGTGATGGAGTAATAACTGTTGATGATCTACATGGTGTCTATAATGCTCGTCACCATCCAAAGTTTCAAAATGGTGAACTTACAGAAAATGAAATTTTTAATCTGTTCCTGAAAAGTTTTGATTCTCCCGAGAATCCTGACTCAAAGGTAAATAACACTTTCAAGTAAACCTAAATCACATACTAAATTATTTTAAAAAAGGTTTAATGTAATTCTACTGATGGATGAATTTGTTTTTTTATTAAGGATTTTAGTAAATATGCTTCAGTTAATCTTACAGAACAAAACTTTGAAAATTGTGTAAAATATTTCAAATATGTTAAAAAAATAAATAAATTTTGCTTTTTGTGACAGAAACTGGTCTGAGAAAGATATACAGCATCTTAAAAGGCTGCTAGAATTG